TTTCTTTCACTCTTCAACAGCATGGCGTGTCGTTACCCTCCACACGAGCGTTGTCATCAACCGATTAATACATACTATAAAAACAACTTGAGATAAACCCAGAAAGTACATTCACATTGGGTTGATCTTATAGAGCACGTATTCAAAATCTTTGTCGAAAACTTAATTGCCCCAATGTTACAAAATATGCAACCGGTTTAGTCTTAAAATTAGGGGAGATTTAACGAATATTAGTAAAAGTTTGAAAAGATAGTTGTTTCTACCGTGATTTTCCTTTCGTTTCAGCCTTTTTTCCTTTAAAAGATGTATGTCACCTTAATTATTAAATTGTTCCTATTATATTCTCGAACAGCAGTACGTTAGTATCACCGCAGATACTGTGCTTCTTTATCTACTCGACAAGTACAGGGATAAAACAGGTATAGGTACAGGCTAGAGTATCACTGACGTGTACCACACGTCAACTCAAACGAGATCCATGGAATTTAGATCATTCCATGTGGAGCTCACGCATCTGCTGTAATACAAACGTAACGCGTGATGTATAACAATTATGTTAGATATATCTGCGCACAACAGACAGAACGAACGTGTCGACCTTTATGTCGGATCCCTTAAATGGTAGCAGCGTTTTACCACTGGCACGATGGAGTGGGGATCGCACGCGGGGATAGTATTGGCGGCGAACACGAGGAAACGCAGTAACCGTGACAACACGAACCGGATTTGTACACCTGACGTTGTTTTTAGGCCTACGTGTCTGTATGCGTTTTGAAGGCTAGTGTTCTGCAATCGTGAGGCCTGATATATGCATCCTGTGTAATGCTATATGGTGCAATCGCTGAAGTGTTTGCGGGCTGCACAACTGTCGTGACTTGGTTTCACACGCAAGCGAGCTCGTTATTTCATGAAAACTATTGCAGTTTCACGACCATAAGATATAGAATAAAGTGAAAATGAGATATCTACACGCTTACATAACAATCAACATTCATATTTGGCCACTATAGTACAACGACACCCCATGAACGATTAAATAATGACGCAGTAATAAAGCCGAACATACTTACCATGGAGGTACTAATAATGAATAAATAATAAATATATTACATATAATATATTTATTATATATTTTTACAGCACACACACACACTACACACACACAAGCACAACACACCACGCACACACCCACACACACACACACACACACACACACACACAACATATATTATATATATATATATGTGTGTTATAATTTATCACGACAACCACTATAATATGTTATGATGTGTTAATGACAGGTGTCTGTCCTACCACACATACGTGCAACCCGCGGTGATCCTTTCAAGGCCCCCGATAACTTGCACTTATTAAGCACGTTGATTACGATGTGAATATAGGAAACCAAACCGAGCCTCGCGTGGGATGCCATTAGTCGAGTAACAGCAGCCGGTTACTTCGCTGTCTGGTGATGCTCAGAGCGGAGAGGATGGACAGGAGGTTGACCACGGTGGGTATACATAGTATCCAGAACTAACAATACATTGTATTATTACAATCAGGAATGAATAATTCCAAAAATAATTTGTGATAATTTGTCATTATTCACCCCTGATACAATGTATTATTAGTTCTTGATAGTATTAGCTACGGCGTTCCGGCAACAGGCAACTACGCCCCGTCTGGTTTACAAAAGTAATGCGACATGCGTAAACTATAGAATAATTGGCATGTCGTCATGTGTACACGTAAGTTAGTAATAACTGTTAGCCAAATCTTGCCATTACATTATAGTTGGCGTCTGAACTATACACCGACACGCGTCTTTTATTCTGC